TAATTACACCCATACAGGAATGTAGCACCGTTAAATATATTTTGAAAATAAATTTTTAAAATACATAAAACATAAAGCTTAAAATTGTTCCTCATGATACATGTGTAAATATGTGTACGAAAAAATATATAATATTCCTATATATATATGCCTTAGTTTTTAATCAATGTTTTTTCAATGTTATTTCTACACTACGTTTACCATTTCTAAAGCTATTATATGATATGATATGATATATGATATTTACGTAAATTCTGCGTGACTTCTACATGCTTTAATGGGCGCGTGCACTAAACTGGAGCGGAGGAAGTCACCATGGAAACGGGGCGGCAGCTCATCTGTCAAGCAGCAACTCCATCTCTCACTGCTGTTTTCACTGATTTCAGGTAAGTTTAGTCTCTGAAATTACACAAATAGTACATACAAGCGTTCCTGACACTTTCTTTCATGTAAATGACATGCTTCCGTTGAATATTTACTTCATAGAAATGGTTTCGTGTCTTCGGAAAAAGTCCGTTAGCATCTCAACCGTAAGGCTATCTATAAGAGGTAACGTTAGGTTAACTATAGACTTGAGCTCTTGTTTCTGAAAGTTTGAGCTTTTAATGTCATCTTATGTGTAGATGAGCGTTTTTTTATATAAAGGTTTTGCTGGCAATTTGTCAATGGATGAATGGAAGTAAGCTAATTAAATTAACCTAAAAGTATGCACTGTACAGTTAATCGGATACGTCACTTACATGGAGCGTGAAAATGGGTGAAATAGCAGTGAATGGCAATGGACGGAACATAAAATATGTTGATTTAATTCTGGAACCGGTCCTGGCCAAACCTCCACAGACAGCCCGCGTCCCAAGCGAGATCTAATTCATGGACCAAAAGCGTGTAAACTTTATTGAGATCGGGACATATCAACCAGTAATTTCATTTCATTTCTGTAACGGACGGTAGAATGTTCAGCAATGAATGGTATGCTATTTATGACAGAATATAGTCCCACAACTGATCATTAATGTTTCCTCACGTGTCTCGACTTTGGTAACAACAATTCAAAATGGAAACATTTCAAGTGACACGGGGAAAAGACACGGAAAACTTCAGTGAACAGAAAAGAAGCGTGCGGTTAAAAAGTTAAAAATGAAAGGCCATTAACTGACAAACGAGAAGCATCACCATTCAAGTCAACAGGAAGAGCCAAAGCAGTTTACTAGTTTACTAAACAGTGCCAATGTCTTTAAGTTATTCTTGACTGTGTTGGATTGACTGCTTTGATGCATTGCAATACGGTAGGGCATTGTTTTGATGCATCCGGAAAAGTTTTTTCTTTCTTTCTTTCTTTCCCTGACTCAAGAGTCAAATGTCGCCCATGGTTGCAATAATGGTTGTCACAGGCGACAACATAATGCCAAAAAGAAAGAAACATTGGAAAATAGGCATATTTTATTCAAGACATTATTATATGACATCAACATGCATTTATCATTACAATCACCGCCAGAATGTCCAACTTCACCATGATGAACTTAAAATGTGGTTCTATTATTTTTCCTCAACAGTTCTCCTCACAAAACGAAATTCATTTCAAACACAAATTTGATAAGAACAGAGTGGAAATTATTAGCAACACCAAAATGAAAGCTAATGTTTTCTGTTAGTTTAAGCAAAAACTAAGAAAAATAAAACCAAACTTTGTAGCAATAATTAAGACCAAACTGAACATAATGTGTGTTTATGGTGCATGTCGGCAATGTTGTCTCGGCGGGGGCGGGGCGTGGTGGAGGTGGGGCTTAGGTAGGCGATATTATCGGATATCGCGATATTTTTAAAGGTGATTATCAATAAGATATTTTTGACATATCGCCCAGCCCTAGTAGGGTTATGGTAGAGAAGTGAACATTCAATTCACGGGCAACAGCTCTGGTGGGCATTCCTGCAGTCAGCATACCATTTTCACAAATTAGCATTTTTGCACACTGTATAAAATGATTGTGATTTTTTTAATAGTAAAATACTGTAAAAATGCTACAGTAAAAACCTGTTAACTGGTTAATAGTAAGTTTTCATACTATATTCGGTGAATAAATGTAATGACATTTAATGTAATTTTACAGTTAAATACCGTTAAAAATACGTTTTTTGAAAGTAAACAAAAAAGTCATTGTATAATTTACAGTGACAAACCATAAATTGTCACTCCCAGAATTCTCTACACTTCATATTTGATGTTTTTTTGTTGAAATAACATGTTTCTTCTTAGTTTTTTTTTTCTTATCAGTTGTGTACAATAGGGTTTAATCTTTTATCTAATGTTGTTAAATGAATGTTTATTGCATTATTTCAGTATCATGTGTGTCA